TAGCAGCCTGTCACGAAACCCTCTGTGCCTCTGAGAGCTGCTTATGCCCCGTATCATTCCAAACAAATACGCACAATTTATACAAAGGCCAGAAAGGCGTGTCTAAGTTCATCAGCGGCTTTCTTTTTCCTCGTGGTGACAGAGTTATAAATGGTTTTCATTCTGTTCTTAAACGTTTAGTTGATCTCTAAACGTCCCATGACGTGTTTGTTAATAATCAGAAACAATTATTCTCTGAACCTCTCTTCATTCTTCCCACTGAGCCTGGTCTCTGATGTACTGAGATCAGCAGCGGGGCTTTTGAGGAAGGGGCTTGGCTTAAGGAGGCCGGAGCCGGCTCCCGTGGGCTCCCCTACAAGGGGTTTAGAGCCAAGTTCACAGTAGACGCATTGTGTTCGTGCAGGGCTCCTTCCCAGTCCCGGCTGTATGTGAGTGTCACAGGGATTTACGTGGAAGACGTAGATTCAAACACAGCTGTTCTGTTAGATGTTCTGTTTAAGTTCGGTGAGCAGTTCTTAGTTCTCATTCTAAATTGCTATTGTTTGTTCAGTGTTGTTGTTGTAGATTGCCGTCGAATCGAGCCGCGACTCATAGCGACCCTGTGAGCAAAAGGCCGAAGCCTTTTTATAACTATTGTCATTTATCAAAGTTCATAGAGTCTCCAGAGGCTTGTTGTTTAGGAAGTGGATGCCACTTGGTCAATAGCACATCAATTTAAAAATATTGTATTATCCACCAGATGCTCTGCTGGAAAAGGAAGGAGGGTCAGCTGTGAGGTGGCCCCAACTCGGCGGCAGAGAGAGAAAGAGACAAGGCTCAAGAGGGGCAGCTGGTCAACCTGCCCTGTGGCCCGACTCACTAAGGGCCTTCGCGTCCGTCAAGGTGACAGTGTGTATGAGTGTGTGTGTGTGTGCACATGTGTGTGTGTTCACACACACACACACACACACGTGCACGTGCACGAGCTGGGGTCCCCAGGTGCTGTGAATTGTTAATGGCCTGGGCTGTCATGAGAAAGGTTGGAGGTCTGTGTCCACCCAAGGGGTTAAGACGTCCACTCCCTGCCGCTCACGAGCTGACTCTGTGCTCCCGGCTACACTCTGTTTCTTGTGCACCAAGGTGGCCAGCACCTTCTGAGGTCTTTTTACTTCTGAAAAGAACCCTATAAAGAAGCTTCAGATAGCTGTGAGCATTGACTTCTCTCCCAGTAGGTTTTTATCAAAATCATATGCCACACCCAGTAAAGTGCCTCTCTTCTGACATTCCAGAAACACAGACTGTCAAAGGCTGGCGTTTCCTATGGAGCACCTACCTACCTCACGTCACCCTTCAGGACACTGTAGTCATTAGATTTACTTTGGGAAGGCTGAGTATGTCAAGAAGACCTAGGATAACCTAGTTTCTATTTAAAACACCTCGTCATTTGCTACGTTCAACTGAATCAAGCTGACTGCTGCAGAGCGCATTGCAGCTCACCCTCCGGTCAGGTTTCTGTAAATCGTAATGTAAGGAGACCGCCTATCTTCCCACCTGAGCGCTGCCGGTGGATTTGAACCGCCAGAGACTCCGTAGGCCTTTTGGTGAGCAGTGACCTCGCTCTGGACCCCACCACTGGAGCAGCTTCTGCTTGTTAGGTCAGGAGGGAGGACCAAGCCCAGGCAGCCCCTGAATCTCACCTGGAGGACAAAGCAAAGGCCTTCTTCCCATGCTGTCATCTGGTCACTTGTGACTCACGCCAGCCTCAGAGGGGCCGTGAGGACAGAGCAGAACTGCCCACAGGGCTTCGGAGATGTGCAGGTGCATGGAGCAGATGGCCTCGGCTGCCCACTGCACAGAAGCTGTGGGTTCCATCCACTGGGCTTTCAGTGAGCAACCTAACACTTCAAACACAGCACCACCAGGGCTCCTTTCTCACCACAGGAATGAGGGGATGCACACCAACACTTGATTAAAAACACACAACTGAACACAAATACAGGCATGGCCGCTACTGACTCCACAGAAAACATGCTAACTGTGAAATCATCTGTCCAGTACAAACGAAAGAGACATTTTAAAGGTTCATCTAGGAATCCTGCTACCAGCAACAAAGAAGGAGCAGAGAATGCCTGGCAAGTCCTTCAGGGCCAGAGAGATTCCTGCCTGAGGACAGAGATGGACATGGAGCCCCCACAACAGCAGAGCGAAACCAGAGAGAGTGGGAGGGAGCCGGAGTCAGGCCCCAGCTCAACCTGCTGGAGGACAGGGGAGACGTGCCCCACAGAGACAGATCCAGCCCTCGACCCAGCTCTCTGGATGATGGGGGAGACGCACGCCACAGAGCCAGAGTCAGGCCCCAGCCCAACCTGCTGGATGACTGGGAAGACGCGCCCTTTGGGGCCAAAGCCAGGCCCCGGCCCAACCTGCTAGAGGCCAGGAGATGCACCCATGGGGCCAGAGCCAGGCCCCGGCCCAGATCACTGAAGGAGGTGGGGAGACTCCTTAACTGGCAGGATGAGAGCTTTGTAAACAGGCCTGAAGCTTCCAGGCTGCACGCTGCATGGTCTGTCAGCACGTATGAGAAGCTGTTGTGAGCAAAACCCTGTATCTCGGTTCCCACCCAAGCTGCAGCCTGTTAACTTCCCTAACAAAGCCCATTAGTTTTTTGTGGTTTTTCATTTGTTTGTTTGTTTTTGTGCATGTGTATGTGTGTGGGGGGGGGGCATCTATATGGCCTTATATTTTCCTGATCTTGAAATTTTGCACCCAAGGACTCTGTAGCCCCAGTGAGTCGTGTTTTCTGAAGATGTGCATAAGGAAGTGTAATCCTGGCCCAGTCCCCACCTGCGTCCCCAGAAGACGCGGACCCGAGGGCACTGACTGGCAGGACGGAGAGCTGTACGAGGTAAGACACACTGTTCTACAGAGGCCTCTGAAGCAGCTGCAGTCTAACGTGCTGAGACTTCATGGGAGTTGTCACAGAGTGGGCTCAGGGCTTTCCTGTCCGTGGTCCATCCAGAGCTGGTCACAAGGTCTCACCTCCCAGGGGCCTCAGTGGATTCAAACCTCCGTCCTGACAGCCAGCAGCCTCGACTGGGAGTGGTGCACCTCCCAGAGTCCCCAAAAGAACATCAGACACAGACATGGCCTGTACTCTGCCTCATTCCCTGGAGCCACGGGGACAGTGGTGACTCTAATCTGTCCTAGTCCCCCTCTTTGTGCAGGACGCTGGACTTGCCCACGGTCTCGGGGATGGGGCAGACTCTAAAGGAGAAAGCATGGTCAAGGAGGAGCTACTGGCCGAAAGCGAGGACCAGAGGGGGCTCCAGGGAAGAGCTGGTCACCCAGTGCCCCTGAACTGGGCTCAGGGCCTCGCGTTTGTCCTCTGTGAGCTGACATGAATAGATAGCAAACACTGGTGCAGAGGAGGTGATGGAGGCCACGCACAGCAGCACCTCCCAGCTGAGTCCGAGACAGAACCCCATTTGTTTTTATTTCCCATCGCAGTGCCTGTTTTATCACTTTTTTAAAAAGGAGAATTATAAGTGAGATTTCTTTTTCTTTTTTTTCTTATAAGTGAGATTTCTAATGATCAACAATGACTAGGAAGGATAGAAGGAGAAGTGATGCCTTTGAGCTGTGGTACTGGAGAAGAGTATTGAGGGTACCATGGACTGCTAGGAGAACAAACAGGTCCGTCCTGCAGAGGGTGAAACCAGGCTGCTCCTTGGAGGCAAGGATTCTGAAGCTTCATCTGACATACTCTGGACATGTTGCAAGGAGGGACCAGTCCTTGGAGAGGGACCTCAAGCATGGAAGGGTGGAGGGACAGCACAGGCGAGGAAGACCCTTGATGAGATGGCTTAATCCAGTGACTAGGGTAATGGGGGCAAGTGTGTCAGTGACAATAATGTTGGCTCAGGACAGAGCAGGGTTCAGGGCTGTTGTTGTACTCAGGGTTGCTACGAATGGAAAGCGACTCAACCAAACATAACAACAACAACATGGATCAACTTAAACACATCATTTCAACAATGTGTGAATAAGCCATCTTAACGGGGCAGTGGGATGACTGACTATGAGGCATCGTTGCAAGCGGACAGTAGTTAACTGTGAGCTCTGTCTCTGTACCATGCACACACATTTAATGGTTTTAATGGGACTCCTGAGAAGATTCCTGGCAGAGGTGGGCGGGTTTACAGCACTGGAGCTACCAGGCCTCTCTCAGCCGTCCCGTGACCGTGGGAGTTTACTGCCACAGAAAGATTCCCTGACCCTGAGACCTGAGCTGAGGGAGGGGCAGCTCTCATCACAAGCTGTCTCCACCTGGGAGAATCGAGCCGGTCCCTCCCTCGTCACCTACACACTCACACCACTGGGTTGTCCAGCTGGCCAGCACCAGCATGTCAGCAGCAAGTGTCAGCAGAGCTGAGGAGGCCTGACGGCTTTGCTGGAGCTAAGCTTGTCTGCTGTTTCCTGCTGTGGTTCTGTCAATATTCCAAGAGTTTAATGTGGATCAAGAGTAATTCATTACATAAAACACAATGTGTATCATATACATATGGAAACCAGTACACAATGCAATGACTCCAATAACCAGGTTGGAAGCAGTGTGGAATGATCCTTACAAGCTGAAATGAAGCTTCCCCTCCTCTCCCTCTACCCCCCACCCAACTTTCAGAGAAACAACAGACAGTGGGGACAGTAACAACATCACGGAGGCAATTACTCCGTTAAACAGCCAAGCAAGTAAAAGAGCAGCATCTGCCCTGGGAAAGAGTCTGGAAGGCGGGGAGGATTAACGGAAATGAGAATCACAGGGAGGAAGTGGGAAGAGTGTGGCTACACTGTGGATATTTTAATGTTATAAAACAAAACATGCATGAATGGTTGAGGAAAAGCCGTAAATTTCAACTCAAAACACAATGAGAAGATATAAGCAGAGCGCTAGGTATCTATAATAAGCGAGGCTGGGAGGATGGAGCCCGTCCTGCCCTTGCTCCGCGTGCCCAGGGCCACACCTTTGGTCGGGCCTTTCCTGTTAAGGACGGCCTGCTGCTCCTCGGTGACGTTGAGCCGCCGGACCACGTCGGCCAGAGCTGACTTGAGCAGCTGGATGTCGTCCTCCTGCATCTGGACGCGCTGCTCCAGGGACGCGATGCGGTCTGTCACCTCCATGCTGCTCGCCGCGGACGCGCTGTCATCTAAAGCGAGAGGGAAGTTCAGGTGAGTGTTCATGGGTCTGCAGGCACGTGGGCACCAACGGATCAATAAAAAACTAAAGAACGGTGTTGGCTCGCTTCAGCTTAAAGCTTAAACTCTCACAGAAACCGTGTGAAATCCTTTCCCAGGAAGGACCAGCTCTGCAGTCCGTGTGGCCGGCCCGCTCTATGTCTGTGCTGTTCATGGCCTGCACTGTAGGGTTTTCTCTACTGGGTTTAACTGCCCTTATATCTCCGCTATCTCCGCTCAAGTCAGAAGTTGGAGGGATGCCAGAGTATGTCCACGTCAAGTCCCCCCAAACTGCAGACACCCCCAGTGTCTGTCTCCAAGCTCCTGCTCCTGCAAAGCTGACGGCCAGCTCCTCTGGTCGCCAGGCCACTGTCCACCGGCAAAGACTCACAACTCTAGCAGAGCGACACAAGTCACACTTGGTTGGTAGGCACACCCTTAGAGTCATGGGAACAGAATTGGGAACTCCCCAGTCCCCCCAAGGCCTCCCAGTCTCATTTACGCCACAGTCCCTCACTCCACATACTCCGTCACAGGAGAACTGCCTCATTTACATCACACGCCCTCGCTTTGCATGCTCCGTCACAGAGGAGAACTGTGGCCCCACAGCTGCGTGCACGGCCAAATCCTTGTTCTTTAAGCCCCGACTCCAAGGTCCTTCTGAGAACCTTTCTCATAACTACCACATCCAAAGCTGCCACTTTCTATCACATTAACCTTGCTTGGCTTTTTCATAAACAAACAAATCCACTGCCACTGATTCCAGCTGAGGAGAGAGTGGAACTGCCCTGGCAGCTTCCAAGGCAGCCAATCCTTGCCACAGCGGACGGCTCCACGATTCTCCTGCGGGGGCTAGAGGGTTCCAAGAGCTGGCTTCGGGGACACGATGCTCAGCCCACAGCATCACCAGGGCTCCCATTGTTGCCAACAGTGTTTGCTCTCGTGGTCTGGTGGTAAGGAGCTGCGCTGCCAACCTAAAGGTACAGAGTTCGAATGCACCACTGCTCTGCAGGAGAAGGTGGGCGGTCTCCTCCCGTGCAGGTAACTGCCTCTGACAACCTGCTGCAGGTCTCGGCGACCTGCTCGATGGCCACCACAACGTGAGAGGGCACCGTCAGCTGCAAGCCCCTGTGTGTTCTGTCACTAAGGACAATGTAACGAGCTTCCGGGCACGACAGAACCCTCCCTCTCACAGCTGACCCTCCACTGGCTTCCCGAGGCTGTGCACGCGTCGAGGGCCACTGTCCACCTTCCTGGCGCTGTCACAGACAGACTCAAACCACCCGAGAGAAGCAGCATCTGGCTCCGCAGCATGACCCCCTGCAGACCACACGGGGCAGCAAGTGCCGTCCACTCAGGGCCGGCCAACAGCTGGCCTCAAGCAGCTGCGGAGAGGCCGGAACCCGCACGGAGAAGACTAGCACCCATCTCCCGAGGAGCAGCTGGTGGGTTCGAACCGAGTGACTTTGGGTGGGAGCGACTGTTCATCAAGGATCAGCTGACTCTGGGTTGGCAGCAAACCTTCCTACCCACGAGGCCACGCGTGCTCCCTGGGAGAACAGGGACTGTCCCCTGCCGAAAAGAATTTCTAAAACAACACCAGAACAACTACCAGACGGTACTGAACGGAAGCGCACAGAGGCGGGGGTGGTCTCCACTTACCTGGAGCAGGAGAGATGGGGCTACATGGACAAGCTCCCACGACTCTCAGCCTAGGACTGGCCCCTGCAAGGGGCTCACAGAGAGGAGGAAACAGGTGGGAAACCCCATCAAAACCCAAAAACGGGCCTCAGAAACAGCACAAAAGTGAGTGGAAGAATCCCATAAAAGAAAGCACCACACAGGAACCCCAAAACTCTGTCCAACCCGCTTTTCTGCTGCACCCCAACTATTGCATGTGCAGAACAGGCCCACACCCTCCAGCTGAACACAACAGGTCAGACCTGAGACGGAGCCGCCACCCAGGAACAGAGGCCACAGGTACAGCTCAGATGAGAAAATGGCCTGTGAGGGCAAAAACAAAGGCACCCCCCAAAACACAGAGTGGGGTACGGATGCCCACTGGGAAGATCCGTGTCAGGATCCAATCCCACCCCACCCCACACACTAGGAACCGGGAAGGAGAACTCCTTCTCTAGATAAAATGAAGGCACTGCTTCCTAGTTCACCAGGAAACAAAGTATTACCTACCAGACCAAGGAAGGAAAATAATCTATCAGATGGCCATCCTCAACAAGCAAAGGTATTTACTATAAATTACAAAGGAGGTGGAAAATCTGAGCAGAGAAACAGAAACGCTGAGAGAAACAAAAAGGGATTTTAGAACTAAAAAAAAAAAATGCCATTTCTAAAAGAAAAAGTTAAGATCTAACAGAAAACGGACATGGCAGAGGAAAGACTAGTCAACCTGAGTCACGTCTAGATAAAGTCTCCAAACAAGTCCAGACGCTGTGGCCGTGAGGTTCAGTCAAGTCTGCTGGAAGCTGCGTGGACGTGAGGTACGGGTGTCCTGCCCCCACACTCACACCTCCGCCGCCTCGGGCCCACTGCGGGAATCACAGCGGTTCATTTTGTTGAGGGTCTTCCTCTCCCTTCTAAGCATGATGTCTTTTTCCAAGAACTGGCCTTTCCAGGTAACATGCCCGAAGTATGTGAGATAAAGTCTCACCATCCTTGTGTCTGGAGGACACTATCCTCAGGTGGCCCTTCAAGACACGTGCAAATGGCTGAGTGCTAAGAATAAAGACAGAAAACCTCAGGGTTGAGTCAATCCAACGTACGACAGACGCCAGATTACCTCACTGGTCATCATTCAGAGTGGCTGGTGGATTTGAACTGCTGACCTTTTTGGTAGCAGCTGAGCACTCTAACAAGTGTGCCACCCGGCCTCCTTACACATATCTGTTGTTGTTGTTAGGTGCTGTCGAGTTGAATACGGCTCATAGCGTCTAACAATAGATCTGAACCCTGTCCTGTCCTGTGCCGTCCTCACAGTCTGACACACTCAAGCCCACTGCTGCAGTCTCTGTGTCAGTCCACCTGCTTGAGGGTCTTCCTCTCCTGTCGGCCCCTCGACCTTTCCAAGCGTGATGTCCCTCTCCAAGGAACGGCCTCACCTACAAATCTGCACAAGTGTTAAAAGAGTATTGGACGTTTTGTCATATTATCTACACATAGAGTTGTCACACACAGAAGTCCATTTTAGTGAATGTTTACTATTAAAACACAACATTCAAGTGAGCAGTATACCCACTGGCTTTGTCAGTGAGGGGTCACGAGGTTTGCTTACTGGGGCAGGTTTCTGTTACACCGTGAGAGCCCAGCAAACACCTATTTCAGAGTAAACGGAACGCTTGCTGTCCAGTGCAGAGTCTCCTTACACCGGTACCTCCTGGGAACAGACAGTGGCCTGTGGAGTCTGGACAGGAACGTAGGCGTGTCTCCATCTCATAGCGTCAAGGCCAATCAAGAGAGGTAAAGACAGAGGGGTGCTTTCTGTCTGCCTCTTCTCCAAGTACCGTGTGAATCAGTGGGGAGAGGAGGGGCTCTCTGGGTCAGCCGTGCTGTTGCTGTGGCTGACCCATCTATGCTGACCCATCTGTGAGTCCCCACTCCCCAGAGGAAGGTCGGGAGGCGCTGGTGCAGGGGAGGCTGTTCTGGGCTCCGGTTAGTACTGGAGTGCATGTGTACAAAAGGAACACACTTCAGTGACCTGGAGTGTGGGCTCTGCAGTAACATGCTGTTGCTGTTGTCGGGTGGCCCCCATTGCCAGGAGGTCCCCGCTAGTCCAGTCCCATACTGCCCCTGTGTGCGGGGGAAGCCATCCCCAGGCCTGCGCCGTTCTCGCGGTGAGGCTGTGTTTGAACCACTGCTCCACTGCCGTGACAACGTGGCACGTCGAGGGCAGCCTTGTTCCTCCACCGCCGTGATAACAGAGGTTCCACACTGCGTCATTTCAACACACAGGAATCCACTGTCTCTCGGACGCTAGGGGTTTAGGGTGCTAATCCTAAGGAAGGCTTCTCCGTGTACCTCCTGGTTCAAGTCCTGGGCCCAAAGGACAAGTCCCACCTCTACACCCGCTCACTTGTCCCTCCTCTCTTGTAAACAAATGTGATGTGGGCTACACCAGGGACACGCCCTGTCCCCCACGGCCAGGCTACGACCTCGAGAAGCGGGCAGCATCACACCCTAATCAAACAGCAACAGTGAGTGGGTCACATCTCAGGTCACGTCACGGGGGTGATTGCACCATTCTACAACCTTCTGTAAGCCAGGCCCATGAACACAATATTATCGCTCTTCAGTGCCACTGAGTGAAGGAGGACTCACGGCGACCTGATGAACAACACACCTGACCCCTGCCCTATCCTGGGCCATCCTCACCATCTTTCTCACTGAGGGCCTTCCTCTCCTTCTCTGACCCTCAACCTTTCTGAGCATAATGCCCTTTCCAAGGAACAGCCTCTCCGACAAACCCAAATTATGTGAGATGAAGCCATCCGAGGGGCACTCGGGCTGCACCTTCTCGAAGACCTGTTTGTTTCTTTGGTAGTCCGCGGGTTAGCAGGCTTTCTTTCTCTCCCTCCTTCCTTCCTTCCTTCCTTCCTTCCTTCCTTCCTTCCTTCCTTCCTTCCTTCCTTCCTTCCTCCCTCCCTCCCTCCCTCCCTCCCTTCCTTCCTTCTTCAGTTTTAACTCTTTATTGTGATATGAGAGAAAATTGGTTTTTCATTCTTCATTCACCAATTCCTGCATTCTGTTTTGTGACACTGGTTACCATCCTCAAAATGTAACAGTGATGAGAAGCTCTAGTATTATTCCTAATAATCTGTTATTGAACAGAATTATAAGCAATGTAATCATGTATCAATCAGTTATTAAAATATGCATTACACTTTTTTTAAAATATTCTGCTTTTGGAATAATTGAAGAAATAATTTTTTTACTAAACAAATCAATGCTGA